GCGGCGATACCATCAAAAGAGCGCTGAATCGTATACGGTGTTGGCGTCTCAAAAAGTTTTTTATTACTACATAGAATATCCATCAATCCGACTACCTTCCGTTCTTTGCAGCTGGACACGGCGCCCGTGGAGCATTTCGAGGTGATCGGTTTCAACTTTTACACCGAGTACCAGTGGCTGGTGGACTTTGCCGTCTGGACCATGGTCGTTTACGCCATTACGGAGGTAGGCTAGCATAGCCTTTCTCTGCTATGATTGTTGCAGCGGACTATTGTGTGATGTAATGGTCCTCTCCTCTGCCGGCAGCGGTATGTCGGCTGGTTAGGCCGCTGGTTTTAACGCTCCGCTCCCGCCGCCCACAGTGCTACTCGTCTCGTGGCTGATATGGCCGCTGGTTTTAACGGTCCGCTCCCTCCGCCCAGTGCTACTCGTCTCGTGGCTGGTGTGGCCGCTGGTTTTAACGGTCCGCTCCCTCCGCCCAGTGCTACTCGTCTCGTGGCTGGTGTGGCCGCTGGTTTTAACGCTCCGCCCCCGCCGCCCACAGTGCTACTCGTGGCTGGTGGGGCCGCGGGACGAGGTGAACCTGAGCATGCTCTGGTGTCTGATGGTGCTGGGGTTCGCGGTGCGCCTGCTCGGCCGGCTGACGGCCGTGTTTTTTCCGCTCGACGGACGGCTCCGGCGAGCTGGAGATCTGCGCCGTCTCCGGGCTGGCCTACTTTGTCGTCTCGATGGTGATCCTGGTGACGAGTAACGACCTGCTGGAGCTGCAGCTGGAGCAGGCCTATGGCAGCTTCAACGAGAGCGCCACCCACTTCCTGCGCGCGCACGGACTCGGCTCCAGGTGGGTGCAGAAGGGCTCAGTGGTTCGGAGTCAGACCTCAGGGTAAACCCCAGCCGGGTCAGGCCCCAAGGTCGGGGTCAGACCTAAGGGTAAACCCCAGTGAGCCGGGTCAGGCCCAGGGTCGGGGTCATGCCCCAGGATTGGCCCCAGTTCGTACCGGGGTCAGGTCTCGGAGCCGACTCCAGCTGAGTACCGGACGCTCAGACACTCAGTCGGCCCGGATGTCTCAATTTTCCGCTGTTATCCGGAGTGGGTGCGGAAAGTACAGCTTGTTTAAAACTACTCTAATATGCAATCGTCCATGGCGGACAGACTGGCAGCCGTGCCGTGGGATCTGACGGGCTGTACGGCGCTGTTTCAGCGGGCCGGCGTCCATGTTTGCGTTCCGGCTGCTGCTGGCTGTGCTCTCCGGGTTCGCCGGCGCTATCCTGATGTTCCCCGGACTGCGCTACACACGGATGCACCGGGACTGTATCAGGTAGACAGCTGCGGCTGAGGCTGACCGTGAGACTTGGGAAGGGTGACTGGCACCAAGCAGCGACGATGAACTACCTATATACGGTGTATGCTGTTTTTATGTTTAAAAAACTTATATCTTAAATTATCTACATTTTCATTCATTTGTTTATTTGTGATTGTGTGATTGTGCGCGATTTATTTCAACTGGAGCAGACGTCAGTCGGCTGATCGCACCATTTGAAAGGAGCTTCCAACACGGCGTCGTCATGTCGTGTTTAGTATATTTGTATACCACTCTCCTACCTCGTGCCAACCCATCCCCGTGTTTGCGGCAGGGTGTCCTCGGAGAACCGTGCGCTGCAGCTGCTCTACCACGTCAATTTTGTGATGCCGCTGCTGAACGTGCTGACCTGGGTGCGGCCGCTGTCGCGCGCCTACCTCACCGAGAAGGACATACCGTCCACGGGCGCGCCGCTGTGAGTGCCGGCCGCTCAGAGGCCGCCCGGTGCGGGTGGCTGCAGTGAGACAGTAGTGGATACTGATGGTGGGGTATTGACGGCGCTGCAGGCGGCTGGTGGCTGGTAACTGACAGACTGACACTGATAGGTGATGTGTTAGGAAGTGAAATCGACACTCAGATGTCTGGTTGATCACTTTGGTAACTATTGCCGTCTTTCCTGTTACTTTTGCAATCGTATACGGTATAAGTCTCAACCCTCCATTGATCTCGCTATGCTTCTCAGTACCAGGCTTCTGCAGCTCCTAGTGACACCTCATGACTCAGCAGTCTGCCGTGCAGCCGATGCGTCTGACTGGAGCCGCCCTCCGGCAGGCTGAGTGACGCCTGGTTCGACACCCTGCGACTCTGGCTGCTGTGGCTGACGCTCCGCCCCTCCTTCCCCCCCCCCCCCCCCCGGCAGGCTGAGTGACGCCTGGTTCGACAGCCTGCGCCTCTGGCTGCTGGTGGCCACTGTGGTGCTCCGTATGCTGCTGATGCCGCGTCACCTGCAGGCCTACCTCAACATCAGCCAGGACAAGCTGGACAGGATCCGCAAGGAGGCCGGCAGGATCCGCAGCACTGAGCTGCAGAAGCGGGTGAGCGCAGCGGCCGGCCGGGGTACGAGGATCAGGGGTCAACTGGGTGTGCTCATGACGAATGTCCTCGGGGCTAATTGTTAACTGTTAGTGTATATTCAGAAGACTTTAACGGCCATCTCCCTCGCATACGTGAATTTTTAACGTTGGCCACCTTCGCTGCAGATTATCTTATAAACCGCTCTGATTTTATGTTCCGAAGCAGTTGTCCATTCCGGTTGCAACTACTCTTTTCCGGTACATTTAGTGACTGAGTCTGTATCGCTCTGTTGCAGATCGTCAGCGTGTACTACTACGTGTGCGTGGCGGCTCTGCAATTTGTCACACCTCTCATACTCAGCCTGTACTTGGCGCTCATGTACAAATCACTCGGTATGTCACGGGTTCTGACCTGTTTAACGTGAGAACAGGACTGTTCCACTGCTACCAGCTTAATATATTTTTTTGCCGGCTTCTGCCGGAAGGGTGGCCTGCTTACATTGAAGGGGATTTCTTTGCTTCCGTCTGTATTTCATTTTTCCTCTGGATTCGCGGTTTTCAATAAAAGACATTTTATGGAATATTCTCTAGTACTCTAGCGTAGTCGAATTGACATGAGTGTCCTAGCTGGCTGTTGTATATGTCTCCCTGCACCCTGACGCTGGAGTGATTAGACTCTTAGTCGGTAACTCCACGTCAGCCTCGCTGACCGGCCGGTGTCCGCTGCGGGTCCCCCGACCGACTGGTGTCCACTCTCCCTCTGATTGGCTGGTGTCCGGTGCGGGTCCCCTGACCGACTGGTGTTCACTCTCCCTCTGACTGAATGGTGTCCGCCGCTGTAGCTCTCGCTGACGGTCCGCCACCCCCCGCCGTCCCTCCTGACGGGCGCTGTCCTCCCCTCAGGCGGGTACTCGTGGCTGGGCGCGGCGCCCGTCTCCGACCCAGAGCTGTCTCCGCTGCCGGCGCCGCCCACTGCCGACCAGCTGGGATCCCCCAGCCACCACGTCACCTTCACACTGGCGGCCGTGAAGCGGGTACGTGGGGCACCGGTCCGGTGTGATAGCCGCTGAGAGCTCGTCAGCTCACGCAGATACACAGGGGTGCCGGAGTGTGAAGAGATGGAACTGTTTTCATTTTTAGCTGCTACGATATCGCGATCGATAGCTTATTGTAGCGGAAACTGCCAACAAGTGCGTGGGAAAAACGTCCATGGCATCAGCTACCAGTAGCTAGTATGTCGGCCTGGAAATGTGGCTGATGCCGCTTACCGTTTACAATCGTTGCTGGCGTCAGTAAGTGACTAACGTGTGCCCACATCACTTGCTCGTTTCCGCACATGCTGCTGTAGGTTTTCCCGTTTCCCCAGTCTGAGATGTATACACTGGTGTTCCGCCGGGATCCGCGTTCCGTCTGACCGGTCCCTCTGTGCGCGGCAGGTGTTCACGCCAGGCTTCTACCGCGGCCTGCTGGGCTACCTGACCTGGTGGACCAGCTTCGTCATGTTCACCAGCTCGGTGGTGGGCTCCTCCCTGCTCGGCTACACGTGAACTGGCAGTGGCGGCAGTAGCAGCATCCTAGTCAGTGTGCCGTGGCGCGGGCGTGCCCCTGGGGAGGGAGGGAGGGTCGGCTATACCAGTCCGGGCAGCCGGTGTGGGTATGATGTCCCGTACAGATCTGATGGAGTTAGGTAGAGTCTCCGTGCCATACAGTCCGTCTCCCTGTCCCGCCGTGGTGACGTTTCAATTGAACCCAGTCTGCAGTGTGTGGTGCCGTTTGAGGTTTGAAGCGTGATCGTGTCAATGGGTGAGAGCGGAGTGAGCCGAAATGCAAGTGGAGATGGATGCAGCGCTCGGAACCTGCCAGTGTCTATTTAGGAATGTGAATCGAAACGTTGGGGGCAAACAGTGCAAGGCAAACGTTCGCGTCAGCTGTTGTTTATATTTGTACTTTTTTACCTGAATGAGTGCCTGGATTTGGTGGTATGAGTGATTCATTCGTTACAGTTTCTCTTGGAATGTTGTTGATTATAAATAAAATACAGTAACCAAAATTACTGATGAAAGGCATTTTAATGTCTATCACGGTGTCATTTGAAAACATTTGCAGCTGTTATCAAGGGTTTTAAACTTTGTATCGCGGAGAGCTTACGGCATTGCCTTCGACAACATACAACATTCTACTCCAAAAACGGTAAAGCGGTAGTGAAACTGTTCCGGCCTGCAGCACACAATTTCGCAACGGAAAGTAGCGCACGGTCGGCGCTAGTTTACAAATCGTGTCGCGGCTGACGGGCTGATCGTTTTGTTTTTCTGCGCCGTCGGGGATAGGGAGACTGCCCGCCCGTCGGCTGGCCTCGGCTGTGACGTCTCGCCTTCGGGGTGACTGACAGGGTAGTCTGATACCTTCTCCAGCAGCGCGCAGTCATGGCAGAAAGACAGTCGTCCCCTGCGCCTCGGTATCCCCTGCCGGTCGTCTAGAATCCAGCCCGTGCAGTCTCGTCCCGTCTGCTGTCCGCTCATGTCCTATCCTCTCGCCACCCGCCGCCTGTTCCGCCCCATGGCGCTCTGATCCCTGTCGGGTCGTCCGGCCGACCCGCTCTGCCCCGGCCGGGTCAGTGGGTCAGCGCCGTCACCGCCGCCGCGTCACGCCGTCACGGGGGCCGTCACGGCGCCGGTATAAGACGCGCGGCGCGGCGACCGTCACCACTCTCAGTCGACTCGGGACAGCCGCACGCACAGCAGCCACCGAACGATGCGGCTCCTACTGACCACTCTGCTGGTGCTGACCGGCGTCAGCGACGGATACGGTGAGCAGTTGGCGCGGTCAGACTGGCCTGACCCTATCTGGCAGAGATACTCTTCATATCGGCACAGCCTACACCTGGTATAATAACAGGCAGCATGTTTTTAGTACGTAGTATGAAGTACAGTTGCTGATTATGTAAGTGTAAGGTCATATTTGTGTTATGAGGTTATCGGTGGAGCCAACAAATGTGATTAGTCCGTGTTGCGGTTGTGTTTGGGTAAGAATTCCTGCTCGCTGACGCGGTGCACTCGCTCCACTTCCAGGACTTCCGGCACAGCAGAAGGTGGCGACGAGGACCCGGACCAGCAATGTGGCCATTACTCGCGGCGGCGGCAGCGTCGTAGGCTCCACAACGGTAAACAACGCACCAACGTCGACCGGCTGCTCCTCCTCTCTCGTGTAGCGTTCCTGCATCATAAACAGGTTCCTTTTGTCACTGAATATATGAACCATACCGATTCAAATACGCTGAAGTCCCATACTCTGCCTAGCTCACTCACTGAAGTGATCGTTTCACCTATATCCACACTCCACGCGCTAGTCGTCCGTTGACATCCGTCCTCACTCGGCAGGGCTCGGCGGCCGGCGCGATGCAGCTGGGCCTGCGTCTGCCCGGTCTGAGTCGGACCGGCTCCGTCACCAGCGCCGTCTCCGGCACCGACAACTTCGCCAGCGCCGGCAACGGCCAGGTGGCCTCGGCCCGCGAGGTCACCTCATGTGAGTGTCCTCTGCCCCCTCTCCCGGACAGACATTGCGGGCCATTGAACCGTATACGGTGCAGGCTATACACAGCACCTTTACCTGTGAATGTCTAGATTGGGGTTTGATATCGCCCGCCCAGATAGCCTAGACGTATGTACAATATTAAATGAATGAACTTAATGCTCCTATATGCAGTCTGTGACGAATAATTTGAGCGTTTTTTTTTTCGGGATAGGTGAACGTTAGTTTCCCGCCCTCGTCGTTGGATCCCATCCCAGACAGTTTTCCAGAGCCAGAGCAAGGAACCCACACGCTACCCATCTCAGACGGATTCAGCTTCGGAGACGTCTCATCGCCAACCGCCGCTGACCCCCTCCCTGCCGTGTTCCAGTGGGCAGGATCGGCAGCGGGCGCGCGCAGACGCTCACCCGGCAGCGGCTGCAGGCGGCCACCGGCGGCCGAGCCGTCACCACCGGCGTGGGTACGGGCGCGGCCAGCGGCGCCATGCGCCAGTCGACCCGCGGCGCGGTCACCGGGCCCAGAGGCGTGGTCGGCGCCGCAGGGGACGACGTGGCCACCTCGGCCACCAGCAGCGTCACCGCGCAGAACTCCAACCAGGGTAACTCGCTGACGCAGTTCGCGCAGAACTCGGAGCAGGCGGCCCGCTTCATGGGCAGCCTGGCGGGCGGCGCCGGCGGCGGCCTGGCGCTCCCGGGCGGCGGGCTCCCCGGACAGGCCGTGCCCCCGTTCGGCGGCCTGGTCGGCGGAGGTCGGATCACGCTGAGAGGAGACCCGAGCGCCGGCCTGCCGGGAACCACGACGACGACGACGACGCGCCGTCCGCGCCGCCGCCGCCGGATGATGCGCCGGATGATGGGCGGTAGGAGAAGAGACTAAGTGGTCTCTTCGTGGACCGGCCGCTTCCAATCCGCACGGCATTGTCAGCCCGGTGAATAATTGAAGAAATGAGCAGAACTGGGAATTTATGTTTTTGTTAGCATGACGGAATATTCGTATAGGAAAGCTAATTTATTGTTGTGTTGCTTTTTCAAAGCTACCGAAAACATAGCTCGTACTGAATCGCTAAAATGCCCGTGTGATCGTTTTATCGTGTTGCTAATTTGCAGCCCCGAAGTTGTTTTTGTATGGGACTGGGAGAATAAATAAACTGTGTTTACCATTCGTCTTTCGCCTACAACCTTCATAGTTTTGTGCATAGATCTGATGCCAGGCTTATCCCGACACACGCATTCTCCAGAGCCACTGCCGTCCGCAGCGGCATCCTTCCGGAGTCTCCAACCCGAGACAGCATTGCGACACTCTGTACACTGCCGGTGCCTGTCCTCCGGCAGAGTGCTGCAGCGCTCACCGGCGGCTCACCTTCACGGGCCAGTTCGCGCCCCATCCGTTCCGCCGAGTGAACGGCTTCCAGCGGGCTCCCCCTCAGCCGCTCGACGCTCGTCCTTGTCCTTGACCGGCGCCACCCTCCGCCCTTCAGACGTGAGGCGCCGTCCCGCGCCTCTCGGGTCACTGACCCAGCGGCGCGGGGCGGCGGCGGCACTGGCAGTGGCGGGGCGGCGGCCGCCCGGGCCCGTCATGGGCGGGCCGTGTGTCCGTCTAACACTGCTGACACAGCCGGCGCAGTGGCTACGGACCGACACGGCGTGGTCCACGCGAGTGACATCGCGCTGTCAGCGGAGAGGGGCTGTGAAAATCGCCGCAGCGCTGGCCATTTTGTGCTGTTGGCACGTGATCTACAAATACAACGCCCACAACCGAGGTAAGAATCGTGTGGTGGTCCGTGGTGCCGCGCACCGGCTGACTCTTGTGCTCTTTGCGATATTTTCGGTACATTTAGCGCTTATACCATCAAATGATACACTGCTTACGTTTATACTATGGGTCAAAGCCGGTCCACAGACGCATATTTATGTGTTTCTCTCGCGCGGTCGTTTCTATTACGGTGTCTCTCTGCGCCTCCGCCAGCCGCTCCGAGGCCCGAGCTGCCTCCGTCGGCGGTGGCTCGGCTGCGGCTGTCCGCCTGGCTCCGGTCCGGGCCGGCCGGCGCGGTATCCTCAGAGGCCCTGCGCGGCTGTCTGCGCCGCCGGCCGCGCCGTCTGCTGTTCGCCGGCCACTCGCGGGTGTGGCAGCTGTTTTGGGCGGCGGTGGGGCGGGCGGGCGCCGAGCTGCGGCCGCGCTGGGCGCCGTCACACGGACCCCCGTACGGAGGGGACCGGCCGCCGCCGGGGACGGCCGTGCCGGACACCTGTGTGGAGGTGTTCCGGCGGCCGCCCGGGGACCGCCGGCCGCCCGCCTGCAGCTGGGCCGCCGACGCGCCCGGTCTGCAGCTCGACCTGCGCTGGCGCCTGCGGCTGGACGGCCAGCTGAGCCGGCTGCTGACGGAGGCGGCCACACCCGGCCAGACGCCAGACCTACTCGTCACCGGTGGGTGTACTCCCATACCGAACTAGATTCGTGGGCCAGTCGATCGGGAACTCGGCTTCTTGCGCCTTGGTAAGAGGAGATACAGTCGATGTTTGACACTCATACCACTCGCCGATTGCGAGTTCGCTATTCAAAACTAAAAATGCACTCTGATGTAGGCCAAGTCGCCCCGAAGTGACCCAGGTTTTCTGGTTCACACTGGATCCGTGCTTAGCCTTTTTCGTTTTGAAACGGTGCCCACATCTAATTTCGATTTGTTTCATTTTGCTACCTACCGTAGTGAGACGGCGCCTCTGACCGCTCAGCTTCACCGGTCCCCCGCCCTGCCGCCAGCCGTGGCCCTGAAGGAGACGGTCCGGGAGCGGGCGCTGCAGCGGGCGCCCCAGGCGCTCTGGGACGCCGTGCAGTGGCACCTGGTGCGCCCGCTGAGGACGCTCACCGACGCCGGCGTTCCCTCCGTCCTGCTGCTCGACTTCCCTCCCAACCGGCGCCGGGCGGCGGTGCCGTACGACCGGGGCGCGGGCGCCGCCACCCTGGTCCAGAACGCGCTCATCATGCAGGCGGTGCGTGAGGTGAGACTGCAGCAGGCGACCGGACGTGTTGGGGCGTGGCGGGTTGCTGGGTTCACTGGGATGGCTTCGCACGCAGCTGGCGCTGGAGTGGTGGGCTGCTGAGGGGAAGGCAGTGGGGCTGAGATCGTAGCGACTGGAGCCGTGGGTCGTTCCACAATTTATTCTTTCCTTGTGCTGTTCTAGGCCATCTGTAACGTAGCGTCACTCTGCTGTGCACTGTTTCAGGTGCCCGGTCTGCTCGTCTGGACGTCTCCGATGCCCTCTGTGATCCAGTTTTACACGGAGACCTGCGGCCGGCCGGCGGCGCAGCTGGACACTGAGACCGCCGAGCGGTGCGCCAACGACACGTTCCACCCGGGGCCGCGTGTGGTGGACGGCATGCTGGACCAGCTGCTGCACCTGTTCTGCTAGTGGACCGGCTGTCCGGTGACATAACCCAGCACCTGCCTGGCAGTGGGCCGCCCCACCCGGCTGACAGTGTCTGGGAGCGCCAGCAGCCGCTCAGAGCCGGACACCACCCCGCCCCGGGGCCAGTCCAAACTAGTCAACGCCATCCACCTTGCTCACAGTGTACAACGTCCTACGTCGACGTTTATTATTAGATGATGAATACACAGTAAAATAATTACACAGCTGTTCTCTGCGCGAGCCAGCAGCGACATCACAGATTACTCTCAGCGAAGAAGCATGATCTCAGTCGTCGTGTGGGCGGCCGGCCTGGCGGCGCGCCGGCCGGCCGCCCGTTTAGTACACGTTAATCCTGCCCTCTCTCAGTGTCAGCGGCGGCGGCGGCGGCGGCGCGGTGGCCGGCGCCGCCGGACCCCCCACCCGGTCTCCGTCCGTGTCCGTGTGTGACTAGCACCTCCCCCAGTTAGCGTCCTATCGCACCGCACGCGCGCGCACGCACTATTATGGCAAATAATAAAATGGAAAACGGAGTGGGGCGCCTGATCACGCGGCGACCGCGGCCGCGCGCCGGCGGCGGCCCGGTGCAGCCCGGCGGCTGCCGAGCCGAGCCGAGCCGATCACAGGCGGCGCGCCTACTTGGGCGAGCCGGGGTTGGTGCGCGGCGTGCCCGGGTTGCTCTGCGTCTGGGCGCGCTTGATGTACAGGTTGAGGAGTTTGAGTTTGGTGGCGTTCAGGGTGGCCAGGTGCGGCTGCATGGCCTCCTCGCCGCACAGCGTGTGGATGGTTACCATGCAGAACACGGCCGCCTTCCGTACCGACGACTCCGTGTTGTCGTACGCCTGCCGGGAGAGCAGCGAGGCAGAGACGCGTCACACAGCGCACATCACGTGGACAGGGTACGCGATAACTGCACGGATAACGCGGTACACTGTTAGAATCGCTTTGCATTCCTTATTTACCACTTGAAGCATCAATCAAAGAACGGGAAAGCGAGACTGTCTTCCATACCAGGTTCTCCTCCATGAGAGACTTGCCGCCGTTACCATTCCAAGAGTTTTCTCAAGACCTCTGACCCATGGCATCCCAGGTAGGCTGATTCAGTTCCAACTTCTAGCCATCTACCCACCCCCGCCCTGTCCAGTGTCCAGCCCCCATCCCTCCCAGCCCAGTCCTATCCCTCACCCCGTCCCCCTCGTCCGTCTCCCACCCGGCACCGCCGGCGCACCTTGAGCAGGCTGGGCATGATCTCCGGCAGACAGCTGATGACCAGGTGCCGGCTGTGCTGCTCCATCAGTCGGGTCAGCGTCTTGATGGCCGCCTGGTTCACTGGGTACTCGCCCGTCTGTATCAGCGGGTTGAGCACGCGCACGACGCTCTCTGCCGGCAGCCGTCCGGCCAGCACGGCGGCGCACTGTTCGGCGGCGCGCACCACGTCGCGCTCCGACGGCTCCCGGTGCGCGTCCAGCACGCGCAGGAAGATGAGCTCGATGAACGGGTGGAAGAGCGGCGTGATGCAGTCGCGGCGCAGCATCTCCGTCAGCGCGGCCAGCACCAGCTCGCGCACCGGACCGGAGCCGTCGCGCAGGTTATCCAGCAGCAGCCGCAGTAGCGTCCTGTCACACCGGGAGAGACAGGGCCGGTCAGAGCAGGCGGCAGGCGGCACATCGCCACTGATGGGGCGAATCTGTTCAAACCACCACTACTTAAAGCCGCGCTTGACAAAACAAGACCCCTGAAATCGCTAAAGTATCTGTGGGCTGGCAAAACGATGCACTGCCCGTAACTCGTTAGCGGTATAACCAACATCCCCACCCCAGGCCGTTGAGACGGCGTCACGCACCTGAAGTGTTCGCTCCAGAGCTGCGCCGAGCCCTGTTTGGCCAGCCGGCAGACGGCCAGCAGCGCGTTGCGCCGCTCGGGCGTGTTGCGGTCGCCGTGCGAGGCGTTCAGCTCGGCCAGCACCGTCATGACCAGCTCGGCCTCGTCGGCCAGCGGCTCAGCCGGCTCGTCGGCGGCCGGCGGCGGCGCGGCGGCCGGCTCGCCCAGCGCGCGCAGCCGGGCCGGAGAGCGCGACTCGGTCCGCTCGGCCGAGGAGAGCTCGGTGCGCTCCAGCGCCAGAGACATCTGGCTGATACCCGAGTCCTGAGAGGTCGAGTCGCGCTCCGGCTCCGCCTTGGGGCCCGTGTCGCGGCCGTCGAAACTGTAGTTCTGAATCTCGGCCGTGGTGCGCCGCAGGGACCTGTGCTCAGGGCGGGGTGTGCGAATGTTAGCAAAAGACAATGAGCAGTCATACACTCTGCAGATTCGCTCCATCAGCACAGTGGGGACATGTAAGTGAATATCAACAAACATCAGGACGGTGGCGATCAACAAGTGTTGGAAAAACGTAGCGGCGCTGATGACGCTTCAGCATGACGGTGACTTAGCAGACATCGGGACGGTGGAATCAGCGGTGGCTGGAATAACTGGCGGTGGCCGGTGCGCCATGCAGCCTCACCACTAACCAGCGCAGGCAGCACGGATCTTGCAACTTAAGTAACAACCCAAGGTACTTATTACTGAACAAACCTGAATAAGCAAAAGTAAATATTCCCTAAAGTTCTGAACTCATTATCCTCACGAACTCAAAAAGCATACACGAGGATTAAGCTCAAAGCACAACACAAATCACAGAAGCACGGCATTGTAAAAATAAGCCGCAAACCCAGCGCAGCCAAAGACAAAACGAGTTACACTCAAAACCACAAACAAATGGCGCCAC